GAGAGTAGAATGGAGAAATGGGGAAAGCAGGTCTGGAAGGATAAACAGAAGATACCTAGTCTTTCACTAAATGTTCTCCAGGTGTGGCTTTTAAATTATTTTTTTAACTACGAATTTTTGGCTTGAGTTAAATCTTACAAGGAAACCAAGTACGTATGTAAAATAAAAAAAATAAAAAAAATAAAACACCCATCAGGGATGAAAGACATAGAACCCAAAATTCCACCCCAGGGAACTCCATGGAGAAAGGTTTAGAAATGCTTAAAAGCACTGTCCTACAACATGAGTTGAAATGGCTACATAGAATTCTAATGATTAATGTATCATTATTCATTAAAACAAATGGAATAAATGCTAAGTTTTTCTCAATATAAGCAGTGTTGTGACAAACATCGTCATAATTAAACCTTGGCATAAAACATTAATTACTTTCTGAGAAAGATTTCTAAAAGTAGAATAACTGGCTTGAAGAGTAGTGACACTCTTGTTTCTTGGTTTGTGTTGCCTCATTATCCTGCTGAAATACTGTACATTTTTAAACAATTTATAGTGCTTGAAGAGTCCCTGTTTTTCTACATTCTTGCCATTATTTGGTATTAATAGTTTTTAATATTTTTGTCATTTTTTAGACACACAAAAATAACATATCATTGTTATTTTATTTTTGAGTCAGGGCCTTGCTCAGTCACCCAGGCTGGCATACAGCGGCAGCATCACAGCTCAATGTAACCACAAACTCCTGAGCTCAAGTGATCCTCCTACCTCAGCCCTCAGAGTAGCTGGGACTTCAGGTGTGTGCCACCATGCCTGGCTAATTTTTAAAGTTTTTATAGAGACAGGGTCTCACTATGTTGACCAGACTGATCTCAAACTGCTGGCCTCAAGCAGTTCTCCCACCTCAGCATCCCAAAGCAGTGAGAATACAGGTGTGAGCCACTGCAACTGCCCTGTTATTTTAATTTGAATTTCTTTTGTTATTCAGATTGACCTTTTTTCTTTATGTTTTTCTATAATATACAGGAAATATATTTCCTGTATATTATTTCCTGTATATTATTTTTAAGCAATATTTTTAGGCACACAAAAGTCTTCAATGCTTATGGAAACACATCTATCAATATAAGCATAACTCAGAGATATTGCACATTTGGTTCCAGATCACCACAATAAAGTCAATGTCATAATAAATATAAATACTTTGCTTTCTCACTGTAAACAAAAGTTGTGTTTATGCTATACTGTAGTCTATTAAGTGTAGAATAGCATTGTGTCTAAACACACTATGTATATACCTTAATTATAAAATACATTATTGCTAAAAAAGGCTAAGAGTCATTTGAGCCTTTAGCAAGTTGTAATATTTTTGTTGTTGGAGAGTCATGCATTGGTGCTGATGGCTGCTGACTGGTCAGGCTGGCGGTTGCTAAAGATTGGGGTAGCTGCGGGAATTTCTTAAAATGAGACAACAATGAAGTTTGCCACATTGACTCTTTCTTTCACAAAAGACTTTGGAGCATGTGATGCTGCTCGATATTATTTTATGCACAGTAGAACTTCTTTCAAAATTGGAATTAATCCTTTCAAATCCTTCTGCTGCTTTATCAACTATGTTCATTGACTGTTCCAAATCCTTTATTGTTATTTCAACAATGTTGACAGGATCTTCACCAGGAGTAGATTCCACCTCAAGAAACCACTTTTTTTGTTCATCCAAAAGAAGTACCTTCTCATTCATTAAAGTTTGATCATGAAATTGCAGCAATTCAGTCACATCTTCAGGCTCTACTTCTAATTCCAGTTCTCTCGCTATTACCACATCTGCAATTACTTCACTGAAGTTCCTTCACTGAAGTCTGGAACCCCTCAAAGTCATCCATGAGGGTTGGAATCAACATCTTCCAAATTCCTGCTAGTGTTGCTATTTTGATCTTTTCCCATGAATCACAGATGTTTTTAATGGCATCTAGAATGATGAATTTTTCTCCAGATGGTTTGCAATTTAGTTTGCTTAGAACAGATCAAAGGAATCACTACCTATGAAATATATAGCCTTATAAAATGTATGTCTTAAATCATAAGACATGAAAGTCAAAATGACTCTGTATTAGTCTGTTTTTATGCTGCTGATAAAGACATACCCAAGACTGGGCAATTTACAAAAGAAAGAGGTTTATTGGACTTCCAGTTCCATGTGGCTGGGGAGGCCTCACAATCATGGTAGCAGGTGAAAGATACATCCCACATGACAGCAGACAATGGAAGAGCTTGTACAGGGAAACTCCCTTTTTTAAAACCATCAGATCTTTTGAGACTCATTCACTATCATGAGAACAGTGCAGGAAAGACTTGCCCCCAAAATTCAATCACCTCCGACCAGGTTCCTCCTAAGACATTTGGAAACTGTGGGAGTTACAATTCAAGATGCTATTTGGGTGGGAACACAGCCAAACCATATTCAACTCCTTGATTCACAGGCTGCAGATGGATGTTGTGTTAGTAGGCATGAAAACAACATTAATCTCTTCGTGCTTCTCCATCATTAATAATGACCACTTACATTATTAATGAGCAGTAATAGTTCAAAACAAAATTTTTTTTCTGAGCAGCAGGTCTCAACAGTGGGCTTAAAATATTCATTAAACCATGCTGTAAACAGGTATGTTGTCATCCAGGCTTTGGTTTTCCATTTGTAGAACACAGGCAGAGTAGATTTAGCATAATTCTTAAGGGGCCTGGGATTTTCTGAATGGCCAATGAGCATTGAATTCAACATCAAGTCAGCAGCTACATTAGCCTCTAACAAAATAATTAGCTTATTCTTTGAAGCTTTGAAGCCAGACATTGACCTCTCCTCTCCAGATATGAAAGCTCCAGATATGAAAGCATTTTCTTTCAATAGAAGGCTGTTTCATCTACACTGAAAATCTGTTGTCTAGTGTAGTAATCTTCATTAATGATCTTAGCTAGTTCTTTTGAATAACTTGCTGCAGATTCTCCATCAGCACTTGCTGCTTCACACTGAACTTTGATGTTATGGTGACAGCTTCTTTTCATCATGAAACCAATCTCATAAACGGATCTCTGCAAGCTTCAAACTTTTCTTTTGCAGCTTCCTCATCTCTCTAAGCCTTCATAGAATTGAAGAGAGGACCTTGCTCTGGATTAGGTTTTGACTTAAGAGAATGTTGTGGCTGCTTTGCTGTTCTCTACAGATGACTAAAACTTCCTCTCTCTCAGCAAGAAGTCCATTTCTCCTTATCATTCATCTGTTCACTACAGTAGCACTTTTCATTTCCTTTAAGGACTTTTCTTTTGTATTAACAACTTGGCTATTTGGCACAAGAGACCTAGCTGTGGACTGTCTCAGCTTTCAATATGCCTTTCTTACTTAGCATTTCGAGCTTTGGATTTAGAGATGTGCAACTCTTCCTTTCTCTTGAGCCTGTAGGAGCCATTGCAGGGTTATTAAGTGGTCTGATTTCAATATTGTGTCTCAGGGAATAGGGAGGCCCAAGGAGAGGGAGAGATACAGGGAACAGCCTATGGGTGGAAGAGTTAGAACACATACACATACAGCATTTATTGATTGATTGCCGTCTTTTATGCATGCAGTTCATGATACCCCAAAACAATTATAATAGTAACATCAAAGATCACCATAACAGATATAATAATAATGAGAAAGTTTTGAATATTGCAAGAATTACCAAAATGTGACAGAAACATGAAGTGAGCACATGCTTTTGGAAAAATGGCACCAACTGACTTGTTTCAGACAGGTTTGCCACACACTTTCAATTTGTAAATAACATAATATCTGCAAAGCACAATAAAGCAAAGTGCAATAAAATTGGGAATGCCTGTGATTTCCTCGTGGATTTCTTCCCTTGATGCTAGGCTTAGAAAGTTGTTCAATACCTCCTGATAGAGTAAACTTCAATGAACCACTCTGACTGCTTTGGTCTTTACTAATAAGTAGACATAAGATGCAAGAATGAAATAGAAAATACCTCTGAGAACAGGGACCAACAACAGGGATAAGGAGGAGACTCTCAGTGGGGCCAGATGTAGGTAAACTTTACATATAATTTTGCTGTCAGCATTGAGTGCCAGGAGAAATTGTGATCTTGAGAAATAAAATGTTCTCTTCCTATTGTCCTATCTGAATTGATTTAGAGCAAGCCTGGGGTGTAAGCAGGAAATAGGATAAGGTGGTTTCCATAGGGTGAGCTCCACAAAGGAGCAGGGTTCTGTCCCCAGATCGGCAAGCTTGCCTACCCCAGGAGACCCTCAGACTCTCTCAGACACAGGTTCTCAAGCAGAATGCAAGAGTCCTACCAGGTTAATATTCAGACTACAGAAGCTGACTACCTGATGCTAAAAAAGAGACAATTTGATGGGAAAAAAAAAAAAGAAAGAAAAAGAAATTGGGTAGGGCACAAGGCCATGAGAAGGGAGGGAGGAGAGCCTACTCCCTCCCTCTACGAGCACTTCACCTGGCCTCCACCCTCAAGGGACTCCTCATTCCCTTGACAGCCGGTGTTTTCCACCCCTACCCCAGGCCTGGGTCCTGGCCACAGACATGTTTCCAGCAATGCCTATGCTGGAAGGATCTTTGCAGATGCTATTTTGATAAAACTCTAATCCCTTTTCTCCCCCTTCTCCTCCTTAACCTCTCCACCTCTACACCAAAGCCTTTGTGTTTGTATGCCTGCGTTTGTGTGCTGGGGAAGAGTTGGGGATGGAAGACAGTGTAGCTTCATAACCAGCCAACACAGGCTCCAGTTTCATGAAGTGGATTAACACAGGGAAATGGCTGCTGCCTAGTCTCAGCTGCAGGAGACAAGTAGAGGTGGTGGAGAGAGGTTTCCTTATCTGGCCTCAACGCCCTCAAAACATAACACAAGAAGAGAGGCTGGCTGGAAGACTGCTGCTAGTGCATCAACGTTTTTCTTCTATGTATGAGTAGAGATTTCATTTTCCTTTCTCTCTTTTCCTCCTTTTTTTTTTTCTTAAGGCAAAACAGAAATCTCTAAATAGACACTTTATTAGATCCACAGGCGATAAAATCCCAGAGCCACTGTTAGGCACGTAAAGATAGACCCTGCTAAATATTTAATATTATCAAGCTTGTGTGACTCAAGCATGGTTTTGAGGCCAGCAACCTCAGTTTCTATCTTCCTATCTGTCTGGGTGAGGGCCCGATCTTGCTGGGCATGCAATGCCACTATTTCTGTTCTCAATTCCAGCAGCTTCTTTTCGTTCAATGAATACAATTCTTTTACTCTGCTCTTTTCTAGGTTGAAGTCTAATTTGGTATCTGTTCGGACTTTGATCGGTAGTTCGAGTTTTACTTTCTCATTTTCGTCTCTGAGGGCTGAAAATTCACTCTTCTCCAAAATAATCATATCCTTTTTCACATTCGCAATCTGAGACATTATTTGCTGAAGAGTGATCTCCTGCTGCATCTTGGTGACCATATCTTTGTAGACGATGTCCATGTTGGCCTCCAGGATCTTGACCAATGCAGACACAATGATTTCTGCTTGTTGAGTAGCAAACCCATTGTCTTCCAGTAAGCACACTAAGGCATGAGTGTCAAAGTAGAGCTTCCTACTCCCAGAAGAGGTGAAATCTCTCCTTTTGCGCTCCAGCTGCAAAGTCTCCCTAATCGCCAGACGAAATACACAATCAGTTAAATTTGTACTGTAGATAAATAACAAATAATGCATGGGACATACTTATACTTTAATTTGTTGTTTATCTGAAATTCAAATTTAACTCAGAGCCCTGTTGTGTTTTTTGGGGGTTGTTGTTGTTTTGCTAAATCTGTCAATTCTATACCTCTTTTCAGTTTATACATTTCACTTCTCTGGCACAGAAGACATTTTCTTCAATTCCATTTTCTTCCAGAAAGGTCTTAACAATAGTATTTCTAACAATAGCTCACATTTACTGAGCACATAACGGGACACTGTTCTATGTGTTTGATATTAACTTACATATATATTTATATTTATTAATATCTAGAAATTTAATTAATGCACTTATACTCACAACAATATTGTAAGGTATGACTTTTTTTTTTTTTAAGATGGAATCTCACTCTGTTGCCAGGCTGGAGTGCAGTGGTGCCATCTTGACTCACTGCAACCTCCGCCTCCTGGATTCAAGTGATTCTTCTGCCTCTGCCTCCCAAGTCGCTGGGACTTCAGCCTTTAGGTGTGTGCCACCACGTCCAGCTAATTTTTGTATTTTTAGTAGACTTGGGATTTAACCATGTTGGCCAGGATGGTCTCCATCTTGACCTCATGATCTGCCCCTCTCAGCATCCCAAAGTGCTGGGATTACAGGCGTGAGCCTCCATGCCCCTCCAGGTATGACCTTTTATAAACATTCTACTGATAAGGAAAATGACGCCAAAAAAAAATCCATCAATAATAATGATGACGATGATAATAATGATGCTGTTGAAGAACAGGTTAAGCAAACACAGCTCTTCAGTGGTGAACCCAGAGTGGTCATCTAGGAAGCCTGCATACGCTTGATCTCTCCCAGTATCCTCAGCTCCCAAGACTCCCTGGTAAACCCAATCCCCCTTCCCTACCTGTCTGACCCATCAAATCCTGCTGTCTCCAGCCTCAGTCCTCCCCACCCCATCTCTTACTCTGTTAATCAGGGTGTGAGTCAAGAAGGCTTGCATCTGTGAAGAAGAAATGTTTTTAAAGCTGGCTGCAGCTGCCAGAAAAGACAGCTCTTGCTGCCTGCCCCTGCTCCCACTCCCCTTGCAAGTTCCACTCATTCACTCGCTCTTGGAGCTTTTAAAAGCCCAGGTATAGGGACTTTATAGGAGGAAAATCTAAAAGATAAGTAAATCAAAATCCCTTAGACATTGCTCTCAATTCTAGCTTTTCAGGGGAGCTGCTAGGACCCACTGCCCATACTAAGGAGATGATGCCCTTTCTTATTCCTGACCCCAAGACCAAGGAAAAGTCAAGGTGGGTGGTATAGGATGATTCCCCTCCCTGCATTAACAGGGCCACCAGGCTGAAGCCAGAAATACCCACTGAAGCTAACAATACGGAGGGAGATAGGCACAGACATAAACTGGTCAGCCCCATGAGGACCCAGTATAGCCCTGGGTTAATAGCTCCAATGAGACAATTACAGAACTTCTTCAAGTTTCACTCTTTTCACCTACAACATAGGAATATTACTGTATGAAGCTCATAGGGTTTGTAATGAAGAATAAATAATGTTGATCATCAGCTTAGCACCTAGCACATAGGAACTAAACTCAAATATTCTTTAGCATTCATTAATAATATGTTTTTGGTTGGACTGTTTTTTATAATTGCCATTAGGGACAAAAATAAATCCATCTAGGACTATTTGTTCCGAAGTGGAAGTAATGTTATTTCTTTACATCAAAGAACAGTGTCAAAATTTCAATTAACCATGTACTAATTTTTCTTAACATTTTTCAATAAATATTTATTATGTGCTGTGGCCCAGAATCATGTTGGAGAAGTAGAAAAATTATACACAAGCATTATTAACATCTCTTTTACTGCTTTTTATCAAGTGTCAGAGGCTCCACTGGAAGATGAATTAGAATCCACTGAAAGTTGTTGCTCAATGCTAAGTGATAATTATTGCAGAAAATCATTTGCAATGAACAATCATTAACCAGTAATCACAATATGATTAAGTCTACAATTGTAATCGTCGTGGTAGATGGAATAATAGCCCCTCAAATATGTCCACATTCTAATCCCTGAAACTTGTGAATATGTTACTTTATTTTTTTATTTTTTAAATTTATTTTTGAGATGGAGTCTCACTCTGTCCCCAGGGTGGAGTGTAGGGGCACGATCTCAGCTCACTGTAACCTCTGCTTCCCTGGTTCAAACAGTTTTTCTACCTTCACCTCCTGAGTAGCTGGAACTACAGGCGCACACCACCATGACTAGCTAATTTTCAGACTTTTTAGTAGAAACAAGGTTTTACCATGTTGGTCAGGCTGGTCTCGAACTCCTGACCTCAGCCTCCAAAAGTGCTGGGATTATAGGCATGAGCCACTTGAATATGTTACTTTACATGGTAAAAGAGACTTTGTAAATTGAAGATCTTGAGATCAGGAGATAATCCTGGATTATTCACATATGCCCAATGTAATGGCAAGGGTCTTTATAAAAGAGAACAAGATGATCAGAGTCAGAAGGTGATGTGGTGATAAAATAGAAGCCAGAGCGAAATTGGAAGACATTGGGGTTTCAACATTGAAGATGAGGGCATGAGCCAAGAAATGAAGACAGCCTCTACAGAAGTCAAAAAGACGAGGAAACAGACCCTCTCCTAGAGCCTCCAAAATGAACACAACCCTACTGACATCTTGAGTTTAGGCCTTCTAATCTCTAGAACTGTAACAGAACAAATTTGTATTGTTACAAATTTTATTTGTGTTCATTTGTTACAGCAACATAGGAAATAAAGACTGATAAAATCGGAAAATAGAAAATTGCAATGTTATCAAATTTTATAAAGAAGATGACATCAAAACACAAGAATTAGAAGAAATAGAAAGAAAGTTTTGTTATAACTTGCATAAACACTTCAGATTATTTTATAACATCTTACTAGCATAACAGGATATTTGTGTGTGCCAATGTGTTAAGTAAACACCAAGAACGCATTACCCACAAGAAGTATAGGTTGAAATACAATTTCTTAGAGTTTAAGTCGTTGGGTGTTGAACTCAGAATAGCAGAGATGGCATAACTACAGTCTCACCCAATTTGGTCACTCTTGTTTAGGCTCAGATGGAAAGTTAATGCTCCAACACTCCACATTAGTCATCCTGGGTTCTGCATTCACAGCAAGAAAAGTGTGCCCTTAAGAAGTCATACTGCTCCCCTCCTGCATGTAAAAGACATTCAAAGTCATGTGAGCGAGTGTAATGGATTGCTGGTCAGTGCAGGGATACTGCAAGAAGACCCTTGGAACACATTGTAGATGAATCACAAGGCTCCTGCTGTCAGCTGTGAGGCCACTTGTGCTGCCTGAAAACTTGTTATGCTGCCTGAGTGCTCAACTCTGGGTACCACTATTCATGGCTCCCACTCAAGCCCCCACAGTCACCACAAGTGCCACCAAATGACTTTTACTACAGAGAGACATTAATGGGGTGAAAACTGCCTAGACCACAGCCACAGGTACACAGAATAGTCAGCATAAGATCTGAATCTCCTTGGAAATCACTCTATATCTCAATTCCTGCCACAAAATCTTCACCTTCTCAAGTTTTCTGGGTTTGTGCCTGGCCAAGTAAGAAATGTGTTGACATGTCTTGGTTTCCTTCTGCTTTTCCCTGTAGTCCGGAGCAAATTATCCTCAAATCTCTTGACTACTTTAAGTCTTCAGATTCCTTTTTTGTCACTTTCCTTCTTCCAACCGCCTTTCCTCCTACCCCCTTTACAGAAAAAAAGAAAGAAGGAAGAAAAGAAAGAAGGAAAAAGAAAAGAAAAGGTAAAATAAAGCCATAGAACTGCAGGCATGGGTCTCTTCAACAGGAATACCCCAGATGCCCCAGGAGCAACTCTGACCTCTAGCTATCACAGAAAAGGACACTCTCCTCTTCACTATCAACTCGTGTTTGGTCTAGGCAGTGTGTTACTACTGTCCTTTCTACTGTAAATCTCTGTCCTCTCATTCCCCCAGTGCCCTTCCACTGAAACACTCTTAATTTTGACCTAATTCCTCAGCCTAAAAGTCATGCTTACTGTCAGCCATAACCAAGAAAGTTCCACGACTGCAGTGTACCTTTGGCTGAGAGATAGACCCCTGAAAGGATGATAGCTTGCTAGAAAAGTACTCCAAATCCATCAAAACAGCAACATATCCCCTCTGGTTATCTATGTCTATGTGATATGGTTAGGCTTTGTGTCCCCACCCAAATCTCATCTTGGATTGTAGCTTCCATAATTCCCACATTTTGTGGGAGGGATCCAGTGGTGAGTAATTGAATCATGGAGGTGGGTCTTTCCTGCACTGTTCTCATGATAGTGAATTAGTCCCATGAGATCTGATGGTTCTATAAAAGAGAGTTCTCTGCACATGCTCTCCTGCCTGCTGCCATGTAAGATGTGCCCTTTGCTTCTTCTTTGCCTTCCACCATGATTGTGAGGCCTCTCAGCCATGTGAAACTGAGTCCATCAAACCCCTTTTCTTTATAAATTACCCAGTCTCAGGTACATCTTTATTAGCAGCATGAGAACAGACTAATACACTATTCAAGCTTCTTTTTTAACCAGAAACTCTTAATATGTGTCTCCTAGACAATTAGCATACAGTAGCTGATGGATGTCATCTGCAAATGTGGTCACCAAAGGAGATCTCAGTTTTACATGATTTGTGTTCCCCATCTAGATATTCTAGTAATTTTCATTTACTCATGTTTCCATCTATGCAACAGAAAAACCAAGAGTGATCATATCTTATGCCTGCTTGTAATATTAAGGTAGTACAGGAAACCAATCACCTGAAATAACTGTTAGTATTGAGCTTATGCCCCCAATTATAACTAAGGAAATAACATGGTCATTATGATTAAAGATACAAGTGTTATTCTGTCCTTCTATACCCCCAGCTTTGTTCATGGCCTTCCC